TTGCTGGGATGCAGATACAATAACCCAGCTGGCGACCTTGCTAAGAGGAAGATAGAGAAGACAGGCGGGAAAGGAGTTCCTGCAACCTTTTGTCTGGCAGGCAAGACTCAGGGAGGTTATGGTTATAGGTAAGCCTGAGTCTTCCTTCACTCCCCCACGGGTCTAGGCCGGAACTGTTAACAGCAGTTTCCCCGTGTCTGACTGAAGGGCTTCCAGGGTGAATCAGTGGCACCCCTTTGTGGTGGAAGCAAAGACCTGCGGAGGTGGGCATTGTTGGTCCTCTCTTGTGTGACCAAGGAGACTCCGGTGAATCCAGGGGGTCGGAGGGGCTGAGTATTTGGGCCTTTGAGCCCCTAGCAGCCGAGTGTTAGCAGAGCCCCGGACCGCCCACCCCCACGTGACAATACATATATTTTATATATATATATATATATATATATATATATATATATATATATATATATATATATATATATATATATATATATATGCGGAAAATCCAGAGAAATATGAAATGAGGTGAACTTTTCGGCCCGCTAAAGCCTTTGTCAACACCAGACTGACTGGTGGAGTCAGTCTGGTGTTGACAAAGGCTTTAGCGGGCCGAAACGTTCACCTCATTTCATATTTCTCTGTGGATTTTCCGCATAAAATGATCAATGTTTTGTGATCGTCAATTGCATATATATATATATATATATATATATATATATATATATATATATATATATATATATATATATATATATATATATATATACATATATATATATATGTATATATATAATTAGTGTGTGTATATATAATACACACACTAATGATTTGAGTGATAAACCAGTATCACTGGAAGTACCTTTAGGCTAGCTCTTCAATATCACCCTAGGATAGTATTGACACTAATTAATCACTCAAAGGTGTAATGATCATAAGTAAATTGTTATATATACACAACTCAACTCAAGCTGGTAAAAATTATACCCAAAAATAAGGCCTGCACCATTCATTAATGGTGCTAGGTTGTTCAATATAGTATTACTAGACTATGGTAATAAATGGGCTAGTATGAACAATAAATAGTTCAACTAGTCAATGGTAATATCCTACCCTGTTGTGGGTTGGCAATTGGTAAACATTGTATTGAGAACACTAGTGCAATATATATTAAATAATTCTCTATTTTGGAGAAATAATATACACAATTATTGATGATAACCTCTTAATTAGCCTCTATGAAACTTCTAATATTATCTAGAAGTATTAAATATTATTAGTGACCTCGCGAAATTAACTCCACAAAATTCGTGGATAATCTCTCGCGAAATTAACACCACAAAATCTGTGAGAAATCTTGCGAGGACACAGCCACTAATTTGGCTGGCTTAAAAATAAGCGCTGTCACTTCACGAAAATAATACGCCACCAAATCGGTGGGTGACCATGAAACCGCTGAGTAAGGTGCTGGGCTGAGAGGTTAGTGAGCTCGGTCGAGGCTGCGCCTCCGATCTTTGACTGGCTTTGTCTTGTTATTGTATAAATTGCACTGCACTAGTACCAGTGTATTTAATGAATCCACTGGTTAACTGGTTCATCCGGTACAAAGACGACCAAATAGTCATCATCCGGCTCGACGATGACCAAATAATCTCGGTTCAAAGGACCAAATAATCCGGTTTCGAAGGACCAAATAATGTGGGAACTGACCTGTGAGATTTATATTTATTTAATTTATATGAATTTATATAGAATTTATATTTACGTTAATTTATATATTTCGATAGCAATTGGTATGATGTTAAGTGGACTGTATTTCTGCAATAATCTCACAAATCGATCCTTACACATTATGGGGGGTTTATATTAAATTTATATATATGCAGCCAATCAAACTACAGTATTAAACTACATATATTGGTATACATTGAGGAGGTTCCTTATCTTATTGTACAGCAGGCTTAGTCCACCAGGTATAACTAGGATGTAGACACCAAATTATCCTCGTTTGAGGCTAGCTTCCTACTTTCTCTTCTTGTTCCTGTCAAAGGGCGCTAGCTGTAAAGCCAGAATCCTAATATATGACAGCTATATCAGAGAAAACACTATATTAAATCATAAGGACCAAGGTTAAATTACCTTTATTATGAGGCGGGTTCGCATTCTATCCGGTTCGCCCTTATCTACCTAACATTTAACTGGCCAGAAATGATTAGATAAACGGGTTTCGGTAGGACACTTCCCTTGATTATGTTTACAGCGTGTTGATGATGGTAGAACACTATTCTGATCTCCATAACACTTCGTCCAAGAGAAATTATTGGAGCTGAATTTGCTCCCCTGCGCCTCTGGTCTTACAACAATGGCTGACCTCTTCCTCCTCACTGATGCCTTGGCACTTTGCCCAGATATCAGAAACTGATAGAAGGGTCACATTTACTTTATTTTGATACTGATAATTAAGTTAATTTATATAAGATGTTTTTATGATATAAAAAGTCCAAAGACTAATGTATTAAAGAATAATTCCCAACAGAATAGTTTGTGAATTTATAGTACTACGTGGCAATGATATCCCGTTTTCTATTGATGGAAAATTCTACTACAAGTTACATTTTCTATGGGTAACTTGTTTATACAACACAGCAGAAATATTACCTGCCGATTGCATGTAATATTATTAAATGGTGCCGGGTTTTCCGACAGTAGGTATATAAAAACATGTGCATATTTGAATGGAACGTTGTGTCAGAATTTCAAAGCAATCGGTGAAGAAATTTCGAAGATTACAGCATGTGTTGCTCTTCTGTCCAACAGATGGCGCTGTTTTTCAAAAACAGCATGTTTTTTCCTGTCATAGGTGAGTCATGTATATAGTAGGTATATAAAAAATACGCGCCTATTCGAATGCAACGTTGTGTCAAAATTTCAAAGCAATCGGTAAAGTGGTTTCAAAGATTTCCCTCACATGAAAAACACAGTTTTTCATAAAAGCATGTTTTTTCCCGTCACAGACGTAACATATATTTAATATGTATTTAAAAACCCGCTCGGATGCGAATGGAACGTTGTGTGAAAATTTCAAAGTAATCGGTAAAGAACTTTCGGAGATTAGCGAATTTGAACAAACGAACATTTCCATTTTTATTTATATAGATTAACTATTTACTAATTTACTAAATAAAAATAATAATTTACTATTCTTGGAGGCTCGCAAAAGGCTATAAATTTCTCATTTGCATGTCATTTGTCTATGACAGAGCGAAAACCTGCTGTGATGTTCTTAACTGTCAGGATGGGTTTATTGTAATATGAGATAGTTCATCTTGTATATCACTAGACAGTTTCGTTGAATGACTACTTTCGTCATCCACTCAGCAGTGGTTATGTCAGCCGTAAGACTGAATGTTGTTAGTAGTGACTCAAACTCCAAGCTGAAGGCTTAAAAGGAGTCAGCAGTCTGATCAGGTATAGATTAGTCCAGTAATTGTAGTACAACATGGTTGACAGCTTCAAGTATGTTTACTGAAGCTGTCAAACATGTTGTACTACAATTGCTGGACTTATCTATACCTGATCAGACTGCTGACTCCTTTTAAGCCTTCAGCTTGGAGTTTGAGTCACTACTAACAACATTCAGTCTTAATTAAGGGTGACAGACAGCTTTCTCTTTGTCAGCATTATCCCTAGGGAGAGGGACTGGGAGATTAGTGATGTCACCTTTTTCATTTAAATTTTTTACCTCTAGTTTAGCTTCACAATTCATTTAAGTTTGGGGGAGTGGTAACTCAGGAGCCTCAAGTATTGCTTTTTCAGAATCAACAGAGAATGTGGATAAATTGTCTGATAACTATTAAATAGAAGGTTGTATAATATTGAGTGAGGCACACCTGCATAATGGATTTGTTCTTATTTGCTCTTGGTATTGAATAATTTTACCCAAACGTTCTTGGAACTCCTCCTCTAATTGTGCCGTTTGAGCGAGAAAGGTGTTTATTTGGTAAGGGTGCATATTTTGTTGGTTGAGGCTTTGAACATAATTATTCGCTGCCTAGCCATGATTGATGAATAACTGGCTGTGTTCACAGATCTAAAATATATTGTTTTAAAACTAAGTGAATGTATTTGTGTGTGTGGGATTATTTTGATGACTGATTCAGTTTTGTTAATAGGATTTGATTCTGAAGCTCGTTCCTCTCTTCCTAAACAAAATCGACGTAAAAGAACTTATCACAGCCACCAAAAGTGTAACATTTTGTATTAAAAATGCAAAAAGGTCATGGCATTTACGTCATGGAAAATTATTTCATATTATTATAACACTTTCTGGTATGTCACTTTCCCACCCTACTTAGGGTCAGTAGCTTAATACTATGCTAATACTACTGTAATTCTACTTAATGGGATTAAAAACAAAAAATACTGGAATGCACATGATAGGATTAAGGTATCTTGAAGGATTAAGTACTACATAGGTTAGGTGCATAATGTTTGGAGCAGATGCTCTTTTGTTTTATAAATATTGTAAATAGTAAGTCATGAAATCTGTACCTGGTGACGTCATTGTTGTTGTTGGAATCAACGCCATGTGGATCACATGTTCATTTTTCTTCTAGCCAAAATATAACAGTGGCGACGAGGATTAACACCTAAGGCAGAGAGCCCGTGTACAAGACGAGGTGTGGAGCAGCAGAGAGCATAGTATGTCATGTGGACGGGCGGAACAGTTTAGACAACAGTGAGTTGTGTTCAACCGTGGCCTTGGCTGCCCCACTCAACGAAATTGGAGCCGCTTGATGCTACCAAGATCTCGTTGGACCTGTGGCTTAACCTGCTGGAAGCAAACTCCCAGTACCGTGGGATTAAGGAGGATGCAAACAAGAAAGCGGTACTCTTAGTTTCACCGGGTACAGCAGTATATAGTGTCCTTGGTAACGACTGCGCTCCAGAGCTACCCCATACGAAAACCTATGAAGACCTGATTACCCTGCTTAAATGTCATTGTACAGTGAAACCTTCATACCACAGGAGTTTGATGAATTTCCAAAAGAGGACGAAAAAGCAGCCAGAATCCTTGGAGGATTTATTTGTGGAGTTGAAGGCATTGGCTAACACCTGCAATTTTGGAGCACAGTTTGACTGCCGGATGCAGGACCAGCTGTTCATGGCAGTAGAAAATATCATATTTCTCCCTATCTTGGTGGCGGAAAACTTGGACTTATAACCGATGCCTTCATGGACAGTGCTAGAGAAGATTTTGAACCTGGAAAGGGCTTTCGAAGTAAAGAAATCTACTACCCAAGAAATTATGGTCGTACAGGGGCCAGACAAGATGTAAACACTGTAGGTACAATCACAGTAGTGGCAACTACAAGTTTAAGGACTACTTATGCAACTTTTGTGACAAGAAAGGGCACTTGAGGAAAGTGTGCGGAGAATACTTGAAAAAATAGCAAGGCCTTGGTAATGATACGACCTGGGAATACAGGAAGAATAAGGGTAAGGTTACTATGGTCAAGGCAGTAGAGGAAAGTAAACTGTCTGAAGAAGCTGCAGGTGCGGAAAGCAAACTATATTCGGTGAAAGAAAGGTATGTTCGATGGAATCACAAGTGGTGATTTTTGTAATTAATGGGAAGTTAGTTCCTTTGGAACTGGACACTGGTGCTGCAGTGTCAGCACTCTCTACAGATTAGGAAGATACCTGGCAATTAAATGTAAAACCTAGTGGAACATCATTAAGTGCATACGATAATGTACCAATTCAGGTCTATGGCAAGTTGTCAACAAAAGTAGGCTATAATAGGAAAGAAATTGTCCATAATTTTTATGTAGTGGATTCACGTAATCCTAGCCTTTGTGGTAAGTATCTCATTGAAAAGGTGGTAATTTTCTTGGCTGGCCTGGATGAATTGTCTATAGTGAAATAAATTAAGGATGCTAATTTATAAAAAAATTCAGATTTCTTTTATTATTATGTAAAAATAATATATGTAAATATGAATATGTAAAAATATTCAGTATATGCAGATATGCCAATTAATGGCATGGTAGCAAAATTTCACCTGAAAAGTGGGGCTTCACATAAATTCTTCACGGCAAGAACAGTTCCGTTCCATTACAAGCAACTGGTTGAATCTGCTCTGGAAAGGCATGTAGCAGAAGGCATCTTAGATCGAATTACACATTGTGAGTGAGGGAGCCCCATTTGTACCAGTGTTGAAGGCAGACCGTAAATCCATGAGAATCTGTGCAGATTTTAAATAATTAAATACCGCATCCATTGTGAAAAATATCCATTGCCCAAGACAGATGAGTTGTTGTCAGTGGTTAGCAAGGGGGGGGGGGGCAATTTTTTCTAAGATTGGCCTGAAAGATGCCTACTTGCAAATTCTTGTAGATGAAGAGAGCCAGAAACTGTTAGTGATTTTTTTTTTTTTTTAGATATATACAAGAGTTGTTACATTCTTGTACAGCCACTAGTACGCGTAGCGTTTCGGGCAAGTCCTTAATCCTATGGTCCCTGGAATACGATCCCCTGCCGCGAAGAATCGTTTTTTTCATCCAAGTACACATTTTACTGTTGCGTTAAACAGAGGCTACAGTTAAGGATTTGCGCCCAGTAAATCCTCCCCGGCCAGGATACGAACTCATGACATAGCGCTCGCGGAACGCCAGGCGAGTGTCTTACCACTACACCACGGAGACTGCATAATAACTGATTAATTATAATAACTGATTAATTATAATTACTGATTAATGACTGATTAATACTCATAAGGAGTTATTTAGGTATAAAATACTTCCTTTTGGATTCTCAATGTCTCCAGTAATTTTTCAGATTCATATCCCAGTTGTTAGTAAACATTGAGAGTGTGGCTAGCTTTTTAGATGACGAATGTGGGGAGAAGGAGGAAGAGCATGATACTAGATTAGAAAAGGTTATGAATCTTCTGCAACAGCATAATGTGAAGATTAATAAGGGTAAAACAGCATTGAAGACCAATGCAATTGAATACCTGGGGTACCATATTTGAAGTTAGGGCTTTACTCCTCACAAAAATGTAGCCGCTACAGTGGACGCCCCAGCCCCAACATCAGTGGGGGAAGTACAGTCTTTTGTAGGGATGGTAACATTGTTTTGTAAGTTCATGACGAACTTTTCGACAAAATTAGCGCCCTCGTATGAATTATTGAAAAAAGGGGCTAGATTTAAGTGGGCAGCAGGAGAGGAGAAGGCCTTCAGGAATATTAAGCAGGAATTGATAAATTCTCCAGTGCTCACTAATTTTACTAGTAAACTCCCTTTAAACCAGCGGTCGATGCTTCCCTCAGTAAGGGTGGGTTGTGTTATTACAGGAAGTAGATGGACAGGAAAAAGTAGTCTATTATGATAGCAAGAAATTATCTCCTGCAGAAGAGAATTATTCACAATTAGACAAAGAAGCCTTAGCTTTGGTATATGCCATAAAATAACTGAAGTATTTTCTGCTGGGAAAGAAATTACTTGCTAGAACAGACCATAAACCCCTGCTTGGATTGTTAGGCAGAGGTAAACAAATTCCAGTTAATGCCATTGCTAGAATTCAACGAATGGCATTGTTACTTTCACAGTTTGAGTATGATTTGGAATTTATTCCGAGCAAGGATAATGTAGTGGCTGATGCATTAAGTTGATTGCCTTTACACAGAAGAGCTGAATTCCAGTATTCCACTGGAATGTGTTAACCTGGTGATATCAATGTCTTTTGAAGATATTTCATACCAGGCTATTAGGAAGGCAAACTATCGAGAAGTCTGTTAATGAAGTATGTTAAATATGGTTTTTAATGAAAATTTACTATTTTTAGAGTATATGACAGTAAAGTCCTTAGACCTAAGTATTCACCAGGATTTACTCTTGTATAGTAATAGTGCTGGTTCCTGTGAAACAGAGAGGTAAGATTTTGGAACAGCTACATGTAGGCCATAATGAAAAATGCTATGAAAGCAGAAACTAGAAGCTGGGTTTGGTGGCCAAAAATGGACCAGGATATTTCTGAAGTAATTAAGAATTATCACAAAGCCCAAGCCCTAGAACTTTCCTGGCCTTGCACTGGGAAACCCTGGTCTAGACATCATATAGATTATGCTGGACCTATGCAAAATAAATATTACCAGATATATCTTGAGATGATTTCGGGGCTTAGCGTCCCCACGGCCCGGTCCTCGACCAGGCCTTCTTATTGTTACACACCCCCAGGAAGCCAACCCGCTCTCACACAAGACAGCACATATATGACTTATTGCTTATAGTCAATATTTTGCTTATGAATTAGTACATATGTGGTACATTCGCAGTTATATTTTTTTCAAGGCCCAAACTTCCTCACGTACCAATTTACATCTCACAGTACCCTTACATCGCAGTAGACAGCAGAATAGTCGTGATTGGTTCGATTATAATAAAAATTGTAGTTTTCAGGTCCCACATGGGTTGAGAAATTTTCCTACTATTGTCCATGCTCTTAGAATATTACAGATCAGCTACATCCTATTAAAGGCTCGTAGTTCTGTTTTGAGAAATATTAGTTGGTCTTAGTAAATTATAATAAGCACTATAAATAATTACATATAATAAGAGTGCTTCACCATTCAACATTATATACACTAGTTTGTGCTTTAAAATCTTTAAAGAGTGTATTGTAGGATCGTCAAAAGAAAACGATGTTACGTTGGAATGTCTATGGGGTAAACTACTGCAAACAGGATGGTATAGAGTCTACTACCACCTGTTAGGTGGGAAAGGGGTCCGTACCGCTTGATGGATAGGTCTGGGCCCAACAACTGCCCATAGTATGGGCATGGGGACCACTATCATCCACAGGATGGGTATGGGGTCCACTACCGCCTACTCGATGGGTATATGGTCCTCTTACCACCCACGGGATGAGTTGCCCAGAGAATGGGTCTGGGGACCACTATCATCTACAGGATGAGTATGGGGTCCACTACTGCCCACTGGATGGGTATATTTGTTTTTGTTTGTTTGTATATTTGTTTATATTTGCTCACTTTGTTTTCTTAAGTTCATACTAATTATAGGATTTTAACTAACCATTACTAAGTTAATTATCTTTAAGACTATTTTACTCTATGAATATTATTTTTCTTAGTATTTCTAATTTTACATTTATATTGTCAGTCTTTACTGATATTTTTGTTTTTTTGTTTGTACCTAACTTCTGTATCCTTCCTGATTATCTACGGGATCTTTATTTTACGTCTTATTTGTTACTATTGTATGTATATTTGCTTTCATTCTTGTGTTTTTCTATAAATACTTTGTTTTTACAGCGGATTTAGTATTTAACTGTTTCTGTAATTGCTTGACTAATAACCGTTGGAGTGCAACAGGGGCAGCATCTTGGGACCTCTTCTATTTCTTATATATATCAATGATCTGCCTAATGTCTCTAATATTCTTAAACCTATATTGTTTGCTGATGATACTTCCCTCATCTATTCAGACCCCAACCTACATACACTAAATAATGTTGTGAATAATGAATTAAAAAAAAGTCCCCTTATGGATGTCTACTAACAAACTAACACTAAACATAGAAAAGATCTACTACATCTTATTTGGAAGCAAATCATCGAATGCAATTCAGCTGCAGATAGACAACATTAACATCAGTAATAAAAATGATGGAAAGTTTCTTGGCCTATTCCTAGACAAGAGTCTCAACTTCAGCACCCACATTCAACATATAACTCCTCACTGACAAAAGATTAGCAGACAAAACACCAGCCCAGCTTCTGCGGGATATTCAGCATGTAATGCATACTGCAACTGGTCCAGTCCCCAGCGAGATTTTGAGATCACTCTGGATACAACTCTGTCCAAAACACAATCAACCAGCCCTATTCAGTATGGCTGACGACACCCCATTAGCCCAGCTGGCTACACTGGCAGACCTGCTTCATACGACGTCTGATAACACTACGCTTTCCTACCCCAGTGTTACACAGCAGACTACAGACATCCAACAACTCGACGTCCTCCAGAACCGGCGTTTCTTCCGCCCAGGGAGGACGTACCATGCATATCCAGTATCAGTCTCTAGGCGA